CTCTCTCTCTCTCTCTCTCTCTCTCTCTCTCTCTCTCTCTCTCTCTCTCTCTCTCTCTCTCTCTCTCTCTCTCTCTCTCTCTCTCTCTCTCTCTCTCTCTCTCTTTCTCTCTCTGTCTCTCTCTCGCTTTTTCTCTTTACACCGCTACGACTGCTCCGATTTCCAGAATCGGAGATAGTTCATTAAATAGCCACAATTGGAGAGAATTTCGTCTCGTGGATGAAACTATCGGATGATCGTCGCGATCGCCGTGGATATTGGAAGAAATTGCAATTGTAGAGCGTTATTGCGAGCGTATCCGGATTCTCTCTCAGCTGCGATATCTACTACGACAACAAACATTTGCTAGATATCAACGCTAAGCTCTTCCCCGAAAAGCATATTTGGTTGGCGCGTTCGCCAAGAACGTTTAAACAATTTGAAAATGTGACGTAGGAGGCTTCCCCTTGAGGCTCTATCCTGAGCGTATCGCTAATGTAATTGTCGATGGCATTCATGGCCCGAGGTGCACTTATGGAGCTGACGACGTCTAATAAGAATGACGATCGTTCGTTGGCGTATGACGGCAATCGTTCCTTCAACGTTCGTTCAAGCCAAATAGAGATCGCTCATGGATGGTTCCTCCCGGTTCTCTCGAGATGTCTGTCTCGCGCAAAAGTGAGAGACGGAATGCGGAGGAAAGGAAAAAGGCTCGAACTAGTTCAACGAACCTGTTAAAGGTTCCCTCGTGGAAAACGTGACTCACCGCGCGAGGTAATGCCGCATAATTCTCGTTTCGTAAATTTATTAGGAAACAATCGGAATGTGTCGTATCTCGGGAACACGTCGATTGTCGCCTAGGTGATTTTATCGCGTGACAGCAAAATCCATGTCTTCGAACCATACATACGGCGTTTCCGAAAGGTGTGAAAAAAGGCCAATGGAAAATTAACAAAATTTCGAAATTAAAAAATTTAGTTCTTCTTTCGAAATTTTTCCACAAAAAAAAATATTTCATGGGAAATTTCGTATAAATTAGGGGTTATTCGTTAGCATTCCGGAGATCTGCAAAACACGTGACTTGTGAAAAACCTGAAGCTCCGATGATTAATGGATTTCCTAGAAATGACCGGCTCACCGATCCGTATATTAAGCGACGTCACCGTCATAATTATTTTCTCTACTCGCGGATGATTTAAGCGCCAAGTCCTTGTAACACGATGATGGCGTTCAATGTAAAATGGGATAATTATAAGTCTTCAATTAATTTCAAAGTCGCCTGCGATGTCTCCTTCGAGACGCACGTGACGAAACGTAAAGCCGCTGAGTTTCTATAAAGATCGCGCTCGGATTAACAAGGACAATCAATCGCTCTTTCTTGTTTCAAGAAATCACATTTCCTGTACCACGTGCGACATCAGGACACTTCAATCTTGCCATTGAGCCAGAGAAAATGAATCACTTCCCGTTCACGGATCACAAGACAAAGAAAGGCGCGATGCGAGAAGACGACACGAAGATCACGCAAAGCTCACGAATTTTACAAGCGATTGTCCGTTTGCGATTCTTCGTTCTCCGCAAGGTTTACCATTGTGATTTTTATATAAAATTGCGATTTTATAATAAAAATGTCGCACGTTCACCTTGTGCGATAAATAAGATTCACGCGCGATTGACCTAATCATTAAAAAAAGAAAATTCCTCTCTATAAAATTTTAATTTAATAAATATGCTTGCATCCCGAAGGTAAGAACTCTGATGGGGAAACATTTCTGACGTCATTCGAGCACAAGACACTTTATTACTCACGATCCAAGAATCAAAGCAACACAGTACAATCTGGGGCTGAATTTAAAGTTTATTCCGAGGTCAGATTGAGTATGACAGAAAGCATATTTATATTTATATTCAAGTTCTGATAAAATCTCACGATTTCTCACAGCGAGCATTGCCGAAAACGCGATAAAAGATATTACACACAATACTTATCCAACATTCCTTCACGTTTCTCAAATTTCTGTTTCTGTACTTCTTATGTTCAGACAATTATGAACTATTGTTTTTGCTATCTGTGCTATCTCATCGCAACGTCATCACAAATAAATAATAAACAGCGAATCAAACATTTGCAACACTAAAGTAGCCTAGTAAGGCTTTCAACAATACTAATGCAATTCCTTATTACTCATCTAACAGAATAATATGCTGAATCTTTCTTTTTGCAAGTTAGGCTTTTACGCTCAGAGCGCTCATTTTGTCCTCGTTGTTCATCAAATGTTCATCAAAAAAGAACAAAAGTCGAAAGTCATTCGTCATCATTTATCCCCGATATCTTAGGCAGATTTCTTATCGAAAGTCAAAAAAAAAAGAAAGAAAGAACCTAAATAAACGTTTCACTTGTTTCGATTTAATATTTTCAATTACCATGATCGTTGAAAATTGAAAGCTCCACCGGAAGTAGAAACTCGTCACTAGGTAATAATGTCACTTGAACGAGCTTTAAGCCCCGTCGCTTCGAATCATGTCTCCGACACAAGTGACGCACGTGACACGCCGGGAATGATCGCCGATCGCTCGAGCAGCTTCGCGTTTAAATGGCAGCACGCCCCGCGATGCCGCGAGACCGGAAGACGCACGCGCGCACGCACGCACACGCCCGATGTCGACGGCTTCGTAGTCCGCCGAGGACTGAACGAGCACGATGAGTCACGGGACAGACACCGGTGCGCCGGGACGCACATTGCCTTTGTAAGAGGCCATCCCATCTCGTAAAGAACACGGCGTGCGACGCGCCGCGAAGCATTCGACAGATTCGAATTCCGTACGTTTCTCTCTCTGTCTCTCTCTCTCTCTCTCTCTCTCTCTCCTCCCCTCCCCC